TTCCCGCCCGGCAAATTCGCCAAAACCATTTCGCGCAACGCCCATTACATCGTGGCGTTCAAGAACCCGCGGGATCAAGTGGGCATGCGCACCTTGGCGCTGCAAGCCTTTCCCAACGACTGCTCGCACGTGATGAACATCTTTCGCGAATGCACCCAGCGCCCTTTTGGCTATTTAATGCTGGACTTGCATCCCGCGTCAGACGATCGGTACCGTCTCTTCACCAACGTGTTACCGGAGGAAGGACCGACGGAAACCTATGAACGACAAGCATGAGTCGACGGACCACCCCCTCGTCCGACGAGTTTCGGGACGATTTGGATTACGACCAATTGACCTTTGAGAATGAACTGGCTCGAGAACAGGCGCGACAACAACGGAGACGGGAGGCAGGCCAGCAACGGGGCTTATCGGAATGCTTGGAGGGACACACCACGCCCTTGTCGGTAGGAGTAGGACGTTCCCCATACGTCACGCCCCGTGCAGTGTGGGATGCTTTAGAGCGGGCCATGGAAATGTCGGGCGTGCCCACGGCCCCCCCGGCCGGGGTGGGGCGTGGCGCCCAATGTCTCGTCGCCGAGTTCGGGCGTGCCCAGCGTGACGGCCATCCGGGCCGCGGCCCAGGATTTACCCTCGCCCAGGTTTAGTCCCCGACAAATTGAGGTCATGGAACGGATTGCCCGAGGAGAATTTCTGGCCGGGCAGATCGATGCTCTGTTGGAGTCGGTGGGTCTCGACAACAATCAATTGACCGATTATATCGTCAGCCGTCCCATGACACCCCCGTCACCACCACCCCCGGCACCGCGAGGCACGCCGCGAGGGCGCGGTCGACCCTCGCCCCGGGGTCGAGGCCGGGGACGAGGCCGGGGACGTGGCGGGGTGCCACCCGGAGGGGGTGGCGGAGACGATGGAAGTCCGCCCGGGGGCGGTGGCGGTGTTGGCGGCGGCGGGGGACGTCGTGGCCGTGGGCGTGGCCGCGGCACACCCCCTCGACGAGCACGGATTAATCAAGACGAATTACGACGTCAGATGGATCTGTTGTCCGAAGATGCTCGTCAACGGTCGGTGAGGCGGCGCATTGCCGGCATCACGCATACCAATACCGTCACCACGGTCTACAAGGATGGAGGCGAACCCGAAGTCTATCGCACCTCGTCGCGTTTGTCTACCCCCAACACGGTTTAAAAAAGCCCGGAGACGTCCTGGGACGGTCAGAGTCAAGATGCCTCGACGCCAACGACGCAGCCGACGCCGTCGACGATCGCAACGAGGCGGCGTGTCGCCGGGACTCATCACGGGTATTTTCAAGACGGCCCATAAGACCATCAAAGCCATCGGGGAGCGTCAAGAGAAAAGAGCCAAAGAGATTAGCCGAAAACGACGAGCCGAGGTGGAGAGTGGCAAGCGCAAAAAGTACGCGGGCGAATCGTTCAACTGCAGTATCATGTGAGCCTATAAAACAGAGCCCGTGTCTGCCCCTGACCCATTGTCATCATGGTCCTACCCAGACGAAGGCGGCGACGGAGACGACACTACCAACGAGGGGGAATTTTACCCTTTCTCGTGTCTCTGGCCATTGCCGCCGGCAAGGCCATTGCGGCCGGGGCGGTGAGTGGCGCGGCCGGGTACGGGGTCAAGAAAGGATTGGATGCAGCCACGCGCAAAAGACGTAAACTGACCCCTGCGCAGCGGGCGGCCAACCGGCGCGTGGTCGCCAACATGCGCCGTCGATGGCCAGGGTTAGTCGCCCAGTAACCCTATAAAGGCCCCCGGGTACGTGGGGGGACAGGAGGACACCATGGTGCGACGCTTACAACGACAACTGCCCTTTTTGCGGAGCGTGTTGCGAGAAGCCGACCAGAACGTGAGACGAGAACGATTGCAGCATGCCAATGCCGATCAAGTCAATGCCATCAGTGAGTTGGTGATGAACACCTTGAAAGGGAACGTGGAGGTCCCCCCTCGACTCTTGGATCAACTGCGTCCGCACAAGCGCGCTTTGCGCGAGATGGCGCGTCGCAAACATTCCATAAAACGGCGACGGTACGTCATGATGGCTCAAACCGGGGCGGGAGTGTGGCACGCCTTGCATCGTGTGTGTCGTCATTGCCTGACAGGATGAGTCACCGACCGTACCAGAAAAAGTACCTGGTGTCCCCGGCGGACATGGAGCGACTGGTGGAACAATACAAGGGCACGTTGATGGAGAATTCGCGGTTGACGCATGCCGCGCGGTTGGCCGCCAAACAACACGTCTTGTTGGCGTCCCCCGAGATTTCGCCGGCCACCAAGAAGATCCCCGTCAAGGCCCTGGGACCCGAGGTGCGTCGGGCTACCAAACGCGTGCGGACCATGAACCTGCCGGCGGCCGGAGGGGCGGCGGGAGCGGACGAGGACGACGAGTTTGCTCAAGGACCCATGGAGACCTTCTTGAAAACGCTTATAAAAAGCAGCACCCCTCAACCCCAGGCCACACCCAAACGCAAGCCGAAAGTTCCACCCAAGCCGAAAATTCCGTCCAAGACACCCATCTCGTTGCCGTTACCGGACGACGATTGGGAACAGGAATTGGCGGTACCCATTCCCAGCACCTCCAAGAGCAAGACGACGCCGACCTTGGGCAAAGGCAAGTCGCCTCTCTCTGTCTCGAGATCCCCCTTGACCGTCAAGAAACACAGCCGATTTGGGCAGGCCGCCAAAGAGGGCAAGAAACTGGCCAAGGAAGTGCTCAAGTTGAAACGTCAACCCGGGTGGAGCGAGTGGGGAGAAAAAGTCCAGCGGAAACTCGATGGCAAGGACTACTAGACGCCGCCGGCGTGCGTCGCGCCGTGGCCACCGCCGTCGTCGCATGATCGGTCGAGGGTTGGACATCCAAAAATGGTTGAACAAGACAGGCATCGAATTTCATTGGCCGGGGTATCAATACATGGGGCCTGGCACCCATTTGGAGAAACGTCTGAAGCGCGGGGATCCCGGGATCAACCGGTTGGATCGCATTGCCAAACAGCACGACATTGATTATTCTCGGGCGCGCACAATCCAGGACAAGTGGAAAGCCGACGACAAGATGATTCGCGCCATTAATACCCTCCCTGGGAAAAAGACCTGGACCGAAGCCATCGTCAAAAAAATCATGCAAGCCAAACGTAAATTGAAACTGTAACCAAACATGTTTATTGTCGCTTACTACAGATTTTTTTCCAAGGCAGTACTATTTTCTTGAAGAGGTTTATGTAAAGAAGAGTCCTAGTGACCTAATAAACATTTCACACTATACAGTTTACATCTCAGTATTGTTTTTTCATCGCGTCACACTTGAAGATGGTCCCTGGTTCCCGTCCTGGGCTCCTTAAGAGCATCCCTCAGCTTCCCAATCGATGGGTTCCGACCATTCGGGCGGCATCATCACATACATGACTTCCGTGGCACCCAAACCCACATCTTTATCGGTGGGGCACTGACGCAACATTCTCTGGCATTCGTCGCATCGACCTTACACTTTGAAGACGGGACGTACTTGTATGTCGTCATCGGGGACAATGTCCGCTTCAGCTAACAAGATTTTCAAGAAATCGAAGGAAGGGTGGATCTTGATCGCTGTCGGTAAAGGTAGCATCTCCTTCGTCAACCCGCAACAAATCATGGCCCGTAATTCGATGGGTTCCGGGGGCGGGAGGGTCTTGGTTTCCATATTGTATTTCGTGAGGTAAGAAAAAATGCCCAACAACCGCTTGCTGATCTTGTTGGAATTGCCCGTCGTCAGACATCGGAGGAGCGCCAGCAGTTCCTTTTTCATCAGGGTAAAGTGCCACGAGGGGTTGGGTAAACAGTGGTGCGAAAACATACCGTACATCCATTCGCACTGCTCCAAACTCTCACTCTCGATGCGTACGCCGTCTGTAAACAAAAAAATAACACAGTTCAGCCCGAGTCGGGCGTTGCCGGTTTGCCTACCCCATAATAATGACAATCACACACCCACCCGTTGTGGTTGTAACACTCGGCATGGTCCAACACGGGGTGAGGACCTCCACGCTCTCGCTTGGTCAAGAAAGTGTGAACGTTGACTGGAGTCCACTGTACCAGCATAAAGACCCTGCACAATAACCACACGCAATGACAAGGGGATCGCGGCCAGGTGTGAGCATGGCGTAGAGGGTAAGGGTGAACCACTCTCTCCAACGTACCTTTTGCAATGTTGGCCCCTTGGTGGACAGAACAAAAACATTTGGCCTCGTTGCCTTCGATCTTCAAGTGGGACGCCATGGGAGTTAGCCTTTGCGGTGTCTTAGGAACAGGAACCAAACATGAGCAACAAACCAGGACGATGAATCAGATGGTACAAAAGGAAGCGGCCATTCACCGACCGGTTTGCAGTGACATGAGCCGGGCATCCCCCTGCTCTATATATCACCCTCTCTGGCCTGGGTCCCGGGCTCTCTCGGCCCACCCCAAAAGAGGGGGGGATGGGGGGGTATCCCCCCTCTTTTGGGGGCTTTTTTAGAGGGGGGTCTGGTGAAATGAGACCCCCTCCTCACACACCATAAAAAGAACTCTCTCACCCAGTCGACTCAAACCAATTTGTTCCTAGGAATGTCTTTGTTATGGTGTGGCCTTTTACTTTGGATTGGTGTCTTCTGTGTGCGAGGGAACTGGTCCGAGCCGTCATCCGTACGCCCTGTTGCCGCGTGCTGGTCCATAAAGCCTGTTTGTACGCCTCCTTGGCCGTCACTCCGTCCCGTCCTACACCCACGTGCCCTCACTGTCAACAAGAGTTGGGTCTGGCACGTTTTCGACGCTTGTGTTGGCAGTTGTCGGGTAAGTGGAGTTAATGGTTTGAATGTCCCCTCGCCCCCGTGTCCCCCTCACGCTCATTCTTACCATGGGGTTTACTTACAGGTTATGGATCCACCGCTGCCACCGTCTTCCGGTCCTCCCGACGACGATCCGGTAAGTGGAACCCATCGGTTGAATTCTCCCGCGCCCCTAACACCCCCTTTCCCGCGTCCCTGGCACCCCTGGCTCATTCTTCCTTTGTTCGTTCCACTTAGGTGCCACCACCACCACCACCATCGTCACCACGCCGCGACGCCAGGCCATCGCAGGTAAAAAATCCTTTTTTTCGTGCATGACATGGGACTGGGCCGTGATGTGAACCTGAGCCCACCCGGTTTGGTCGAAGACAAACCGGGTCAAGTCAGTCCCAAACGCCGTTCTTTCTCGACTCAACGGGATGTCTTGCGTGATGGAGACCTTGTGCTCCAAAGAATCCGACACCTCGTTTTTTCTCCGTCTCTCTTTGCTGAATTTTTCAGGGTCGTCTTCCAGTGGGCTGTGATACCTTGTCTACAAGGTGGAGTCCACGTTGCTCCCTTTCCCCTGTTTTCCCTTACGGTATGGATTTCTCGTTGGCACCTGTTTTAGAAGCTGTCTCTGTTTTTTTGGTATTTTTTTATTTTCTGGCCGGTTTTTTCTCATAGGAGGAGCAGGTTTTCGCTGTTGACCTTCTTGGCTGTCCTCATCCACTGCTTTTTTTTCTTCTTGCTGGCCAAGAACTCTCTCCCTCTCAATCCGTTTTGCGCCACTTGGGGGTATTGTCACCTTTTCTTGATCGTCTCCTAGCTTGGTGATCGGACCATGTCCCTTTGACGATTCTCCTCTGGATGGCTTGACTGTCATTTAACACTGGGAAGATGACTGGCCCTTTGAAAAATGAAGGTCCAAAAGCTCCCTCGGAATGTGACCCAAGGTTAGGGTGAACTCCTTGCCACTTCCAGTAACAGCCAGACGATTGATCTTTGGTGGCCTTTGAAATGACGGCGTGTTGAGTCTCTCTCTCGTCCTCGGTATGACTGTCCTTGGTGCCATTGTCTTTGCCAAGGGGTGCATGTCCTGAGGCCGGGCAAGAACGAGCTTTACAGACCCACCAGAACAAGCATGGTTACTCCAGACATCCACAGCTTGGTTGCCTTGGTAATGGTTACAGGACCACCTGAAAAACCTGTCGGCGAAAATCCCTTGTGATCGGTTTGAGATGCTGTTGGATAGCTTGGAGCGTTCAGAGTCATCCTTGCAGTTCCCCCGGTTGCGACCACACCCTTGCTGTCATCTTGTAGACGGTTGTTCGCCGAGCAGAAGTCGTCAAGCTGCGAGGACTTCACAGGCCTGATGTTCGCTTTGCCATCACTGTACCCATCTTTTCCTAGAGAAGTGGTTTCGTCTGAATGGGGTCACACCACCACAGAGGATACAGGGTTTGGTGATGACAACATCCTTTCCAAGGGGAGTGGTATTGCAACAGTGACTCGTTCCAGGGGTGTTTCCGTGTACTGGGAGTGGTCTTGCTTCAGTGACAGGTCCCCAACTTGTCAGCCTGAACCAAGTGGACTTGACATCGCAGCCCTCCCCAGGTAGTATGCCTTGTACCATCAGTCTACCTTGTCCTAGGGACCATCAGTCCATGCGTTCGTCTGTGCTTTCCTCACAAGGACACATCCTGTCGATTGGCTTCTTTGGTGACTTTTTTGGTAGTGGTACTCAATGGCCTTCTGTATCCATCCCTGATGGATCCTCGAGCACGTGACGTGTCTTGGGCGAAACATCGGCTTCTTGGTGCTTCTTGGATGGATAGCTCTCTCTCTGTTTGTGCGCTCTCGCATGCGTTTTCCATGGCTTGTCCTTGTCCCGGAAGAAATGGAAGTGGAGGGACGTCCCTACAGAGAAAGCCTGACGAGTCGAACGCGTTGTGTTTGGGGGAACACTGTGGCCCATGTCGTCTTTGGATGGACACTGATGACACCACTCCACGAGAACCAGAAAGACCTTTCCATAGCCTCTCGTGCGAAACCAAGCAAGCCCATTCCACCTCCATCCGTTTTTTGGGTGGGACATCTGTTCCAGCCTTTCTTCATCAGTTGGTGTGTTGACTGCTTGTTCTGCAAATGTCACCAGACCCAAGCAAGTCTTTCGTCAGTCACTGGCATAGGTTCCTGAATCATTCATTTTCACTGCCACAGGGTTCCTGATTCATTCCAGCTGCCCTTGTTTTGACTCGTGGAAGTTCGTCATCGAGGTCCATTGGACTGTCAGAGCTCCATTGGTTTTGTGGGATAGGGAGATTTTCCTGGGCTTTGCAAGGTAGGTCACTGCACGAAACCACCCCCTCCTTGTGTGGTATGGAACAACATGGTGTTCGTGCATACCTGTCTTTTCCTCTACAAGACACCTACTTTAGTAGGTACAGGTGAGTTGGTTCTACTTCGTGTTAGTTGTCGATGGAAGCTGTCGACGATGGTGTCTATTGGGTTGGATCTGATTCTTCCAATGTTGGTCTGCCGGTACCAGCTGCTCCCCGAGTTTAGGAGAGGTGGGTTGCTTTTGAAATCGCTTTTCCTCCTTTGGCGGAGGAGACCGTCGATCCTTCATGAACGCCTTTCCTCCTTGCTGTTAAGATCTCTGGTCTGTGCTTTTTTGTGAGTCCGACGAGTCATCCAAGCTCTGACATGGACGTAAGCCCTGCCTCCTTTATCATCAGCAGCATTTGACTTGGAGTTCACGGGCAAGTTGGAGTTCAAGGACAAGTGGGTGGTTTGGACTTCCCCGTTCGAGGGATTTTCCCTCTGCAGCTTGGACCTTTCATGACGCTGGTTTCGTCTGTTGATTTGGCAGGTAGGAAGGGGAAAACCCTCTGCTTCTTTGGCATCGTATGTGTGTGAACACTTTTTCTGTTGGGCGTGGCAGCAGAATCAGTCGACCTGAAGGTCTCTCTTTGGCGGTGATATCAGGTTAGGGTCACTGGGACTTGAGAGTCCTCCGTTGACTCGGGTCAGCTTGCCGAGGTTTACCCAATGGCTGACACTCGTGTTTAGGGTGGGTTTCTCCTAACTTCCTTGAGTTGTTTTATCCCTGGGTATTGGCACGACTGGCATGAGCCACGTGGGTGTGTATTGCTGTTGTGGTATGCCTGTTCTGAACATGGTTGTACCTCCATCACCTGCACTAAGTTCCTGGGGAAAGGAGCTTGGCCACCCCAAGTGTCTTGGTGGTGTGTTCTGCGTGTCAGGGCATATCTACTAGGTTTGTCAACTGAAGGCTCTTGGGAGCGTCGGTCTGCCGGTTGGAGTATTTGAGGCAATTGGCATCTCAGTCATTCCAGGTTTGACCCCCAGTTGTACTGTTGTGCCAAGTCACCCTACGCTTTGTATTTCTCTTCCCCCTCTATTCCTCCATGTTTTCTACTTGTTGATCCATTTGAATTTGGTCTGCGTCCTGTTTCCCACGTTTCTTTCTCGCACTTTGGCCATCACCTTCCTCCATCTTTTGCCCTCCATTTTTTCCCCCTCTTTTTGTCTCTCACACCATTCCCTTCCCTCTCTTCACATGGTTACTCCCCACTTTTCCCTCTGTCGTTCCATCCACTGATGCATTGTCTTTTTCTCGGGACTAACTTGACTCGGTTTCTTTTTTCTCAAACCTTCAGGGCACCTCCAGCGAGTCGACCCCGGACAGCGACGAACTGAACAGTCGACGCCAATTGCAGTGCGAGGAACGTCTGCCGACCACCGGCAGCAGCAGCGACGACGAAGCGTGTCTGCAAGCGCTGCAAGCCGCCGAAGGACAATCCGGTGGCGAGCTGCGGTTCCAACTCACTCCCTACACCGTCCGTCACCGCCCCTCGTTCGGCGTCACCTGGCAAACGTTCCGGGCACGACTGCAAGGACAACCCAGCTCGGGCGACGCCTCGGAGGAAGTGATTCGCGCCCTGGGCCAAGCCATCCGAGACCAATCGCGGCCGTGGCACGACGACGATTATTTACAGATCTACCTGGGATCCAACCGCTTGGCCAATAATTTTACCAGTGCTCGCGTACGCGTGAGAGATTGGCGACACACGCAAGGTCCCGCGCGGCATCTGCTCGAACAGATGACGGCCCTCTTGAACTTCAACGAGGACTTTGCGGTGGACGATACGTTTGTGGTGGACTTGACCTACGTGCGCCCACCGCGCGGCACGGGCCGTCGTAAACTCGGGTCCGACGCCTTCGTCAATATGGTGAAGAGTAAAAACAGTTGTATCGAGATCACCAACAAGGACGATCTCTGCTGCGCGCGGGCCCTGGTGACGGCACGAGCCTACCAACACAAAGATCAAAGTAGTCTCCACATGAGCGAATACACGACCATCCGACACGGGCGGGAACTCCAAAAGACCAAAGCCCGCGAATTGCATCGATTGGCCAAAGTGCCCGAAGGGCCTTGCGGGTTGCCCGAAATACGCGAATTCGAAAAAGTGTTGCCCGACTACCAAGTCATCGTGGTCTCGGCCGATCACGGGAATGCCATCGTGCATTGCGGCCCGACGGCCCTGCATCAACTCATTCTCTTAGCCCACCAGGGACATTACGACGTCATCACCAAATTGAACGCGTATTTTGGCGCGAACTACTTTTGTTTACGGTGCCGCAAAGGGTACAAGACCAGGGACTTTCAACATCATAGGTGTCCCGGCTTCAAGTGTTACTGTTGCCAACAAACGGACTGCTCGGACTTTGCCACCCACCCTGCCCGAGACGCCGCCACCGAACTGCGTCCCCATTGTCATCGCCGTTTCTTTGGCCCTCGGTGCCTCGAACTCCACACCATTCGTTCTCCCAGCGGCGAGAGGGCCCACCCGCTGACCTTCGACAACGTGTGTGCCCAACTACGGTGTTGCGGGCACTGCGGACGCACCTTCAAGAGTTACCAGGCCTTTCTCAGCCACGTCTGCGGCTATCAACCGTGCTACAATTGCGGGCACACGGTGGACGTGTGGGACCACAAATGTTTCATCCAGGCCATCCCCTTACGTCGAGGCCCCAAATGCAAACACCCCACCAGTACCAACCAGCCGGGACCCGTGCCCGAGGAACAGTCCATTGTCAAAATCTTTTTCGATTGCGAGTGCATGCAGGAAGGAGGGGAGGCGCATCGCGTGAACCTGGTATGCGCCGAGACCAGTCTGGACGATCAACGCTACCAGTTTCCGTCCATGCAAGACTTCTTGGCCTGGGTGTGGAACCTGAGAGTGACGGACCCCGCGCGCCGCCCGTTCGTGTTGATCGCGCATAATTTCCAGGGGTACGACGGCTACCTGTTGCTCGAGGAACTGTACAAACAAGCGGTGGTACCTTCGCAGATCGTCAACGGGGCCAAACTCCTGAGCGTCTCCATCCCTGGCGGCATCAAATTCATCGACAGTTTGAACTTTTTTCCCATGGCCCTGGCCTCGTTTCCCCAGACTTTCGGCTTGCGGGAGGAAGCCAAGGGGTTCTTTCCCCACTTCTTTAACATCCCCACCTTGCAGCAGTACGTGGGGGCCATGCCGGACAAACAGTATTACGATCCCGACGGCATGAAACCGGCCCGTCGCGCCGACTTCGAACGATGGTACGCGGAACAAGTGGCGTCCCATCGCGTGTTCAACCTGCAAGCCGAACTGTTGAAATACTGTCAGTCCGACTTCAGGATCCTGAAACAGGCGTGTACCCTATTCGAGCGCGAATTCAGGGGCATTTGCGGGTTCGACCCCTTCGAACAATGCATCACCATCGCCTCGGCGTGTAACGTGGCCTACCGTTGCCATTGGATGCGGCCTAGAACCCTGGCCGTCGAAAACCTGCACGGCTGGCATCCGCAGATCCGTCAATCGAGAGCCGCCTTGGAATGGTTGTACCACCTGGAACGCATCCTGCCCCAACCCACGGACGGGGAACCCCGCCTACGCCACAGTCGTAACGGAGGCGAAGTGCTGTTCCGGATCGGCGAGCATCGCTACCACGCGGACGGCTACGATCCGCGCACCGGCTTCGTGTACGAATTCTACGGGTGTTTCTACCACGGGTGCCCCGAATGTTTTCCCCAGCGGCACGCCAAACTCGACGGGGCCACGCCCCACGAACTGTACACGCGCACGGTCCAACGGGCCGAACGCATTCGTCAAGGCGGTCACGTGGTGATCGAAAAATGGGAGTGCGAGTGGGAAACCCAAAAGAGGGAGGATCCCGAATTGCGGTTGTGGGCAGAGACCCTGGATCTGGTGACGCCCCTGGATCCCCGAGACGCCTTCTTCGGCGGACGGACCGAAGCCGTGCGAGCCCACTGTCAGGCCCAGCCGGACCAACACATCTCCTACGACGATTTCACGTCCCTGTACCCGTGGGTCAACAAGAATTACAAGTACCCCGTGGGCCATCCCGTCATTCACACGCAGTTTACCTGCCAGACACCCGAAGACTGGGACCGACTGGTGCGCCATCAATCGTACGGGCTGGTCCAATGCCGCGTCCTGCCGCCTCACTACCTATTTCATCCCGTGCTGCCCGTCCGCGTGGCCGGCAAGTTGCTGTTTCCCCTGTGCGTCCAATGCGCCCGACAGCAAGTGCCCCTACCCTGGACGGAACGCACCCACATCTGCGACCACACCCCTCGCGAACGAGCCTTCGTGGGGACCTGGTGCACGCCCGAATTGGTGCTGGCCTTAGACCAAGGGTACGTGATTCTCCACATCTACGAACTGTGGAACTTTCGTCAGACCTCCACCACCCTGTTCAGGGATTACATCAATACCTGGATCAAGGTGAAACAGGAAGCCGACGGTTGGCCCTCCCCCGAAGTGGAAAAAGATCCCGCCTTGCAAATCGAGTACCTGGAAGAGTTTCGGCGCGTCGAAGGGGTGATCCTCGACCCGGCCAAGATCGAACGCAACGAGGGTCGACGCACGCTGGGTAAATTGATGGCCAACAGTTTCTGGGGCAAATTCGGCCAACGCACCAACAAGACCCAACTGACCACCTGCAAGGACCCCGAGACCTTCTTCGACATCTTTCTGGACGGCGAACGCGACATCCATCGCATCCTGCCGGCCGGCGAACAGATGATCGACGTGTACCACTCGTTCAAGGAAGACGTGGGCGAACTGGGCACCAACACCAACATCTTCGTGGCTGCCTTCACCACGGCCCACGCAAGGGTCAAACTGTATCACGACGGGCTGCTCCCCCTGCACACCCGCGTCCTGTACATGGACACGGATTCCGTGGTGTACTTGGCCACCCAAGGCGAGACCCACCTGCCGCGAGGACGTTTCCTGGGCCAATTCAAGGACGAACTGAAAGGCGACGTCATCGACGAATTCGTGGCCGGCGGACCCAAAAATTACGCCTACCGCACCCGTTCGGGACAGGAATGCTGCAAGGTGGGCGGCTTCACCCTCGACGCCCGGGGACAAGCCGTCCTGAACTTCGAGAGTGTTCGAAACCTGGTGCAAAAAGACATCGAGGAACCTCTCGATCGTCCCAGAACGCTGTCCGTCGGCAACCCCCATCACATCGTGCGAAACGTCACCGACAAGACGCTCCATTCCGTGCCGCAACTCAAGACCTACTGCATGGTCCAAGACAAACGGGTGCTGGATGCCAGTACCGGCATGACGTACCCCTACGGCTATCGACCCAGTCAGGACATCGTGGACGACATGGTCCTGTCCATCCTGTTCTCGGACATCGACTCCACCCTAGAAGAAGACGTGGAGGACATGCCTTTCATTTCAGAACCGTGCCCATTTTGAAAAACATGGTAGGGACGCCCCCACACCCGTAGGGTCGGGCACACGTTCCCGCTTGTAAACGTTAGGGTTATCAGAATAAACCTCAGTTTGACACCTGTGCAAAAAAACATGCGTTTATTTTTTTTCCTTTTTTTGAATTCCCTAGGGAATCATCACGTGACCGCCCGGGGGGGACCTCGACCCGGCCCCACCCAAGGGTTAGGGTCAGGGCCAAGGGGAACACCGTTGACCCCCCAAAACACAAGTGTCTCTAGTGCGCATGCGCCCTCGACAATTCTCTCTTAAGGTTACCACATGGACGAGCCATCAGGTTCGTCTTCAAATATAAGAGCCCTTAGGGTTAGAGTTAGGGTAACAAGGCTATAGGGTTACAGGGCCACACCCCAAGGTGACACAGGGTCACTTTTACAACACGTCATCACCCCTATGACGTCATCGACGCACTAATAAGTGATTGACAGCTCATTAACCACCTGAAATAAACAATTAAATACACTAATGATGATTGACAGGTCACATGACCTTCTGCTGCACGCTGATTGGTCCATTTGTACCACGTGACCTAAATCCGGCTTTCTGATTGGTCGAGCCCGGGGTGGCCCCTCTTACTACTAATTAGTTAGAGACGGTTTTATCTCGACGGCACAGAAACAGACCTCATTCGTGATTTCACTACGATACCCGTCATCTTTGCTCGCGCTTTCGGATTGATGGGATAACAGCAATGTCACGACGTGGTATTTCAGGGGGTAAACAAAAGAAAAAATTGCTAATACGCCAAAAAAACGGTAGAGGTTGTTTATTCTCTCAAAACGAAAAAGATGATTCAATAGTTATGCAAAATGCACGGTTCGAGTTTCGTCAAGTTTTAAGTCATTGTTGATTGCTGAGAGGACATCTACAGCGGCAGGTACAAAGTGCAGGTCACAGGTCACAAGTGCAGGTTACAGTACAGGTCACCATGCAACGCTGGTAAATAAACAACACTTAAAGTGTCTCCTAGCCCTAATCACAATCTGAAATCTTTCCAATCTTTGAGCAACATCATGGACTAACGCCTTTGGAAAAATTCGAATTTTGCGATTTTTCTTTCCATCTGTAATATCACAAAAGTAAATTACGTGGCCTATTTTGCCTCAAAACAAACTATGAGTCGAAAGTATTTCAATTTTTTGACCAGAATCATGCACTAACCCTTTCGTAAACTGCTCAGTTTTGCAAATTTTTCTGAATTGTACTTTTATACTCTAAAGAGCTTTTTTTTCTATCTGGAGTACAAAGTAAGTATATTTCTTAGTTCATTTTCCTTAAAAACAAAATCTGAAAATATAATATTTCCAATTTTTAAACAGAATTCATGGTCTTATTCCTTTGGGTAAATTCGAATTTTGCCACCTTTCCTTAAGTGTATTTTTATACTCTAAAGAGCCTTTTTTAATCTAGAACTTTAGAAAAATATATTCTTTTCGCTTATGGTGATTAAAAACAAATTAAACTATGAAATATTTTCAATTTTGGAGCAAAATCACGAACTAATACCTTTGGAAAAATTGCAATTTTTCGACTTTTTCTCAAGTTTATTTTTATAGTCTAAAAAGCTTTCCTTTCTATCTGGAATATCACGAAAGTAAGTTTCTTGGCCTATTTTGCCTCAAACAAGCTACGAAAATATTTCAATTTTTGGACCAAAATCATGGACTAACCCGTCTGTTTGTAAAATGTCTTGTTCCGTGGGATGCCTGTGGCACTCCCACGGTAAAAAATCCGGTTCGGTTGTACCCAAAATTGCAAAGCCAGCCAATAGGATTGCGTAAAATCTTTATCGATTATCTCTTCTTCCAAGCCTACCAATCATATTGTACAAAATCCGTATCGACTTTTAATCGATTTGCTTCCTCTGAAGAACTTTGAAATCAGAACGTTCCTTGCCAAATTTGTCGCCCTTGAGTTTTCCCACTCGTGGTTTAGGATGGCTTGTTAACCAGCGAAATCCTTCGGGATACTGGCAAGTCACGAAAGGCGACCTAAGCCAAATTATTTCTTCCCTTCATGATTCTTGTTTGTTTAGGTCTAGCTTTTTCATAAGGTTTTAGTAGCGTCTGCTTGCGGGCCGTGATTTCCGATAGATTTTCCTATACAGCTAGAGTTCAGTTTTTTTCTTTTCTTATCGAAAACACCTTGACGATGGGAGGTTAAACCGCGTAAATTTCAACTCGTAGCCTTGATCATTGGCGGTGAAATCGCGAAAATATCGTCCTCGTTGATCGACGACTCGCTTTCGGCATGGATTGGATTTCTGGATGGGACACGGATCAGGACCTTAGTAAACTTATTATACCTTGGAATCAGGGATAATCATTGGAACTATGTTAACTTTGAGACCTTGGAAACACATTGCAATTAATTTTTAACCGTATCAAGAGCATCTTGGAATATTAAACTTTCATCT